ATGTGGGGTAGCCTATGGCATTGGATGTAAGACCATGTGGGGTAGCCCATGGCAGTCCTAGGTAAAGACCATGTGGGGTAGCCCATGGCAGTCCTAGGTAAAGACCATGTGGGGTAGCCCATGGCATTCTTACAGGTTTATGTATGCATGGCTTATGTGATACAGGTAGCTTTTATAGCTAGCAGGATATGTGTTTTGTGGATTGTGTGTGTGTGGTATGCTATGGGGGACTCACTAAGCTTTGTGCTTACGGTTTACAGTTTTGGTTTCAGGTATCATCGACTTGGAAATGAAGAGCTCGGATTGATCGCAGTGCACACACCTATGATTTCCGCAATGAATGATTTTGGGATGAACTCTGATAAACGTTTTACTTAATGATGATTTGAAATGTTTGGAATAAATGGTATCAATGTTTTAGCTATATTAAAAATGAAATTTTTACCCTTGATTTTTGGGATGTTACAGGGTAGAGCTGATTCCGGGCAAAGACGTTTCAGCTTTCATCCGACAGTGAGGTGAGTTTCCTCCTGGTTTGAACGGGTCGAAGGCACCAAGGCCGGCCAATATATGTTATTTGTATTTATTAGTATCTGAGTGTGAGCGAGGCCCGTATCTCATAGATAGCGGAGTGTGGTAGAGGCTAGTATCTCATAGCATTAATTGAGTATGGATATAGAACTGCTTGATAGATTTGATTACACTTGTTGTCTGTGTGATACTTGTATGTATGCTTAGTAGCTGAGTGTGGGCAGGGCTCGTATCTCATAGTTAGCTGAGTGTGGGCGGGGCTCGTATCTCATAGTTAGCCGAGTGTGGGCAGGGCCCGTATCTCATAGTTAGCCGAGTGTGGGCGGGGACCGTATCTCATAGTTAGCCTAGTGTGGGTGGGGCCCGTATCTCGTAGTCAGAGGAGTGAGGGCGAGGCCCATATCTCCTAGTTAGCCGAGGGTGAGCGGGGCCTGTATCTCCTTGAGTGTGGGCGAGGCCCGTATCTCCTAGTAGCATGATTTATGTGTATGGTATGTGGTAATTTAGGGAGACTCACTAAGCTTCGAGCTTACATTTTCAGTTTTGGTTTCAGGTACTTCTGGTAGCAAGGGGAAGAGCTCGGGATGACTGCAGTGCACACACCATTATGTTTAGCCTGGGATGTTTTACTCTGATAGATTGACATGTGTTTTGATATGATACTCTGATTTGATACTATGACTCATGTTTTGGATGAAACGATTTGATAACTATGGTTTATTTAATAATTAAAAAATGAAATTTTTTGTCATGATTTTTGGGTTGTTACACCTAACCCTAGATTGATCCTTGTGAGCAAAAAGAAAGTGTTTTAAGTGCTTTGGACTTTGGAGTGTTCTTGATTCACCTTGTAGAAGAAGGAAGTCATTGAAGAAGTGTTGGTTGCATTGGAGTTTGTAGATCCGGACATTGTTCACCTTGATCTTTCTCCTAGAGGTATAAAGTTTGAGTCTTGATGATGAAATTGTTAGATCTAGCTAGTTTTGAGTGTTATGAGCTTTTGATCACTTTAAGTGCATAAATTTTAGATCTTGAAGGTTTGTGACCTTGTTATGGATACAGTTGGAAACTTAATCCATCTAAACATCATTTTGATTCAGATCTGAAGGTTAGAGACTTGGACTTAATGGATTAAGTTGAAAAATATGCACTTTTGGGTCCCTTTGAGACTTAAAGACTAGATCTTATTTGTTGGGACCATTCTAATGGATAAAGTTGGAAACTTTATCCATTATGGAGCAATTATGAACCATAAAAATGTGATCTTGGCCCTTCTACCCCTTCCATACAAGAGTTGTGATGTCTTATTGGGTTAAGAACTTAGGGTTTTGTAGATTAAGCACTTTATAGTCATGCAAAGTCATAAAGTTGGAAACTTTATGACTTGGGAAATTATTTTGGGCTTGGATTTAAGTTTTGGACGTAAGGGCTTAATGGAATAAGCTCTTAATGGAGTTTTGGGACTGGGTTGCGTACGTTGGGCGTACCTGGTGGTTCGTTGCGCGTACACAGTCGGCACCCCGCTTCTGGTTAACATCAGAGTACGTTGGGCGTACTCTCTTGGTCCGTAGGGCGTACTCCGCTGGGAAGAAATATTGACTTTTGGGACCTTGACCGTTGATTTTGACTTTGACCACGGTTGACCCACTTTGACTTAAGGGTATTTTGGGTATTTTAAGCTATAGTTAAGCCTTGGTCTCTATCTATTGAATAGGTAACCTATAGAGCCGGTATTCAGAGTAGTGAATTGTTCAGCTATTCGTCAGACTGTAAGGTGAGTTTTCCTCACTTTACCTATGGGTCGAAGGCACCAATGTCGGTATACTAGATTGTGTATCCTGGTATATAGGATGTAGGTATATTGTAGTATTCTACAGATCTGTCAGTTTGTTTGCTGACTGGTTATATGATTATCTGTTATTGGATATATGTTATTTGTTATGTATATGTCGACATGGTATGTTAGGGTTGAGACTGTACTGTTTTGTGCTATCAGTCAACAGAGCGAGGCATTCCAACCGGAAGGTTATAGGCCAGGGCATTCCAACCGAAAGGTTGTAGGCCGGGGGTAATCCAACAAGGAGGTTGTGGACCCGTTATGTATTGGGCATTCCAACCGTAAGGTTATGGGTCGGGTGTAATCCAACCAGGAGGTTGTGAACCCGTTATATATTGGGCATTCCCGTCGTAAGGTTGTGGGTTGGGGCATTCCAACCGAAAGGTTGTGGGCCAGGGGTAATCCAGCCAGGGGGTTGTGGACCCGATATTTGTTTGATTATATGTTTGTATGGTGGTACTTTTGGGGAAACTCACTAAGTTTTGTGCTTATAGTTTTACTTTATGGTTTCAGGTACTTTAGAGGATCGTGGGAAAGCAAAGGCGTGATCGTACACAACTTCCTGTTTTTATGGCTTTGGGTCTTGGGAAAACTCTGATTTTAAAATAATATTTTGGAAACAATGATGTTAAATGGTTGATGTTGAAAATTTTATATTTCTTCATTTTTGGGATGTTACAACCACTTTAGCCCAAAGAGCATTTGGGTTATGCAAAAAACGCCAGTGCCACCTGAATAATAAAGCCCTATTAAAAGAAAAAATGCTTCCAATATCAAGACCTCCTTTTTCCTTAGAATTCATCACTTTAGACCAAGAAATCCAATGGAGCTTTCTTTCTCTAATATTAGCTCCCCAAGAAAACCTAACTCTTAAAGATTCCAAGAGATTAATGATCTTAATAAGCACTTTAAAAATGGACATTTGGTAGATTGAAATACTACCTAAAACCGCCTTCACAAGAGTTAAACGACCACCAATGGAAAATAATTTTGCCTTCCGAGAAGACAATCTACTTAAAAAAATATTCACAATAGACTCACTGCTGACAATTCTATTCATGTTAGCACCTACAGGAACTCCAAGATACATAAAAGGAACGTCAATAGCATTACATCCCAGCATAGAAGCCACCTTTTGGACCCTATCAAAATCAACTCAATAATTAAGAATGTTTTGATAAAAATGTTTATTAGTTTATGTGACGATAAAAAATATTTTTTTTAAAAATATGTTTGGATTAATTTATATGTCAAAAATCTATGAGTTGGGTAAGTCATTTAAAAACAATGTTTGAATTAGCTTATATTTATTTTATACTTATATTTATTTTTATAGCTATTTTAGATCAATAAGTAAAAAAAGAAAAGCATTTTTAAATAGTAAGGAGCATATGACTTTTCAAAAAATCTTTTTGATGGTTTTGAAAAAACTATTTGTAAAACCACCTATCTATTTGTAAAAAGCAATTCGATTTCATTAGATTTTTTTAAAATAAACAATTAACATTTTATTTTTGTACATTACATGACAAATAAATTATATACTACAAGAAATCAATGCATTATCAGCGACGCCTTTAGCTTTAGCGGTGACTCAACACTTTATCGCTGCTAAAAGCCATTGTCATCGCTAAAGGCGTCATCGATAATGCCTTGTTGACCGAATCCGTGTTATCTCCTTTTGGTAAACCCCAACCATCCGATCGAGTATCTAATCCAACGGTTGGGGCCTCGTTTTCGCACAAACCCAATACCGGCGAAAAAAGCCGCTGCTAAAGGTCGAAAAAAAGACGCGACATAAGTTCTATCCTTATTTGTCGCCACTATTGGTTAGTTTCGTCGCTATTGATTGTCGTCACTAAAGGTCATCACAGATAACATTCGTCTTTCAGCTTTCATGACATTTTCCATGGCTTAAAAACAAAATTTTGCAAGCTACAATATGTTGGTTGGTTTCGTGAGTGAGTATAGTCTTATTTATGATGAATTCTTGTTGAAGTGATAGTTCTTAGATGGAGATTGAGGGGTGAAACTGTCATTTCCACTTAACCATATTTCTATTTAACTCCATGGTTGAACTTAAATCAGCTCCTACCCATTGCTTTGTCTATTTGACATAGCATAATACTAATTGTGATGTTAAAAATGCAGTTTTTAGTATCATGTTTTCTGAAATACTAACGTACTTTCAATCTGTTGTTTTTTTGGTAAGTTTTAAATAAGAAAGTACGTTGTTATTTCTTGACAACATAAGTTATAACAACCATCTGTGAGGGGCTGCATAGGGTCTATATCATAAAAATATTTATTGATGCCATTAGCTTGAAGTACCGGAGGGTTATTAATCCACATAGCAAATAACTAGAGCTCAAGTAAATGCAATCACTCAATCAGAAAAGTACATTGCTATTTTGTTACATGCCCCTGTTGATAGTTCATAAATAGTTTATGGACCTTTTTGCCCATACTGTTATCAATAAATAAAAGTACATTGTTATTTCCTGGCGTGCCCTTGATTATTATGGCTTGATGACAGTTTATGGACCATTTTACCCCTGCTTTTACATGAACAATATAAGTAAAGATTTATATTTTTGCATCCCTTTATATCAATATAACTAAAGATATATACTTATAATATCAAAGCTCTAAAGTCTAATCTACCCTCTAATATGGTCTCACTGTTATCTCCTAGAATGTTGCGATTTTTGCCAAACGCCAATTCAGAAATTGAACCTAAAAGAACATATTAACGAAAATTAAAGAAGAAGAAGAATACAATTGCAGAATAGAAAGTAATGATGAAAATCGTTTAATTGATGTAAGTGAGATTGGAAGTTCTATGAATGAGGTCGAATAGGAATTGAGGAGCTGCATTCGTCTTTTGCCAACAGTCGTTAAATTCCCTCCAAAGCATAAATTGGTGACTGGTACATGATTATAATCGACCGAAATAAAACAAAATTGATCTAGAACATCGAATTCGTAGGGATTGGAACGATTGGAATTACAATTGGAAACACTTTGAGAATCGAATTGAGTCTCGACCCAATAGCGATCTGGTTCGATTTTGTACCGTGAATCCGTACGGAGCGAACAATTTGGAGTTCGTGGCTTATTTAGCGAATTAGGTTACTATGCACAGGACCCCAGAAGAAGACGATGTAGGAGAAGAAAACATTAGTCGTTCCTTTTCCTTGTAGCCCTAATTCGAGTTAAGGAAGAGAAATACACATAAATGTCATGTCATCCACTATTCTCCTATGTCATTAATTTTAGGCCAACTCAACAATTTTTTTAATCCAAGTCATCAATTAATCCACAAGAACTAGTTAGAGTATCCACAATGCAAGTAGTATAAGAGTTTAATAGGGTGATGACGAGGATTGAATAAGAGTTGAATGAAGTGTGAGTGATGACATGGTGTAGAGTTGAATGATCATTGAATGGTTCAATAGAAGAAATAAAGTGGTGATTAGGATTGAATAGGTGTTTAATGGGTTGTGGGTGGTGTTGTATAAATGTTTAATGGATGATCTGGCAATCCATTGAACTCTATAGAGTTCAATGGATTGTGGATGCCCTTACAACTACGTGAGATTTGAATAAATGTATATTTCATTGATTTTTTTTATACAAAGACTTTAGTTAGATGATATTTTTTTAACATGAAAAACTTCAATAGTCTTTTTTTAATGTTTTCGAACTTTCTTACTCTTATAAAGTCATTTTTTATATAAAATCTCATATATCTTTTCAAAAAAGCAATCCTCGAACCAATTTGGATACACTAACAATATTAACCCTATAAAATAACAAGACAAAATTTCACAATTGGTCCCTGTGGTTTACAGAATATCACACTTTGAGGACGTCCTAGCAAAAAGTCACGCCACTGGTCCTTATGGTTTTAGTTCATTGCGCGATTGGTACTTGACCCTAACCCCGTCACTTTTGTACCGTTAGTGCAGGGGTATTTTTGTCTTTTCATTTATCAAAACTAGCACCACAAAATCCTGCCATGCACTGAATAAACAAACATGTAAGAATTCAGGAATTCTAATTTCTCCATTAAATTTTGAAAAATTAATGAAGCTACTTTGTTTTTCCTGAATTCAGATGTTGTTGATTTGTGGATTCATATTCATGGTTTGTCTTTGAACATAACTTGGCATACAAAGCAAAGTTACTGGTAAATTTAAGACTTCACGACCACAAACATCATAGTTTTTGTTCCAAACCATTTAACTGCACATTCTTCATGAACAAATCTAAGCGCACCTTTGCAACTGCATTCCATCTTCGACTGATTACCTTTAGGACTGTTCATTATTTGGATAAAACCGAATTGTCCAATTGGACAAATTGGATTGGACTATTTGGTTCGGATATTCGGATTTTTGGATTGGTTTTCAACAAAACCGAATTACTATTTTGGATTCCGGATTGGTTTGGTTTATCAAATATGAACCGAATAATCCAAAAAACCGAATAACAGTTTATTATTTATTTATTTTTAATATAACTATGAGTATTTATTAATTTTATAATTTATTTTTTCAAATAAGTTCAAAAAGCTTCATGTAATAAAAAACATTAATATGCATTTTCTCTTAAAAGTTCTTTATCTATTAAATATTAAACTATAATATACATTCTTAGTAGTTTATAAATTTTAAATCACAACTAAATATTTTTTTTGCTTCTTCTATAAAAATTGAATAATATTATAATTATATGTTATTTTAAAATGTTTTAGTTTTTGAAAACCAAATTATAAAAACCGATCCAACCGAATTGTAATTGGATCGGATCGGATCGGATTTGAATTTAGTTTGGATTATTCGGATCCATATTTTGAAAACCGAAATCAATTTGGATTTACTTAATTGGATCGGATCGAACCGATCCATCCAAACGAACACCCCTAATTACCTTCATCGCATGAATCAAAGCAGATTTTGCAAATCGCTTCTTCCTCATCAATCTCTTCATCGTTCTCCGCTTCAATAGAACCTATTTATTATTCATTTGAAACAAAATTGTTTCAACAAAATTGGAATATGAAAATCAAATCGCAAGTGTATATAATAAAAAAGTACCAGTAGCACTCTCGACTTGATCATTATCCTTACGTGCTGCAAAAGAAATTGATCTTACGATAACAATGTTTCGCCCAGGTACAGAAAGCGACCTTGAAACCGAAGCTTGAATCTCCCCAATCTGCACACAATTTTATCGATGTATGACTGTAAACCCTAAAGCCCAAAGTTACAAACTAGCCCAATAAACCTAAGGGGCTTCATTTCAATTTTGAATCTATATTTGTTAGGAATATGATCGATCTTATCTGTGATTTCTGTTGTTCGCTATATGTTCTTGCGGAAACGGGAGTGGTGGCTGAAGGGGAAGGGTTTGATGATGCTTGTTTAACTGGAAGAGATGTACATCGTTTCCAGTGTAAATTGGAGATGGTGTTGGAGACAAGAGGGCTTTCAGGTGGTGGTGCGTTTGTGTCGGAAGGAAGAAGAGAGATACTTTCACCATTATGAGGAACGTGATCCCCACTGAACCCGTCCCACACGTTTCTTCCCGTCCCACCCGTTTCCTCCCCAAAGATCTGACGACACCCTAAAACTCGGAACTTAAGAATCGCAGGAGAAGAAAGATATTACAAACGATGCTTCTTCGAAACCTACAAATCAGAACCTGCAAATCGAACATAACTTTGTTACCCTTCTTCATCTCCCCCTCTCTCTCTCTTGTAGATCAATCAATACTTTCATCTCCTTTAACAACTTCAAGAACCCTAACCCTAGTCCTATCACACAAGTCGTTGTAGTTGGGTGATGAAATCATCATTAGCAACAACACATACCCCTGTTTCTGATCATAAATCAACGACATCAGAAGTTGAAACGGGGGTTGAATTAGCTGATGTTCCAAAAGTCAAGACGGAGATGTCAGGTCTGGTAAAGTATTGGATCCTAATTCTGCTAAATTCACGGCGATTCAGTTACAACTCTTGCTGTTTCTCTCGAGTATAAATAAAGATTTAGAGATTAGGGTAAGAAATCGATGAATCTAGCTTGGTGGTGATGATGGTGGTGTATGTGTCGGTGGATATATTGGTGGTTCATGTATAGTTTTAAGAGATAACTTTGGTGATGAAGGATTACAGTGACTGCTAAATGAAAAGACAAAAATACCCCTGCACTAACGATACAAAAGTGAAGGGGTTAGGGTCAAGGACCAATCGCGCAATGAATTGAAACCATAAGGACCAGTGGCGTGACTTTTTGCTAGGAAGTCCTCAAAATACGATATTCTGTAAACCATAGGAACCAATTGTGAAATTTTGTCAAATAACAATGATATGTAAACAAAATAGGCTCTTAACCTAAAACCCCCGCTAACAACGAGTAAATGGCAACTGCAGCTTTGTATCTCCGTGAACCCTAATGTACCATGGCACGAAAATGAAGCACAAAGCTTTATTCGCTGCCTCTCATGGCCGAATTGCCCAAAACCCTTTTCAGCAAACATCTCCTGAAACTTCTCAAATCCGAAAAAGACCCAATCTCAGCTCTCTCCCTCTTCGATTCAGCCATCCGTCACCCAGATTACACCCCAACCCCTTCCGTCTTTCACCACATTTTCCGCCGTATTTCACAATCTCCGAAACTCCTACCTCAACTGGCGCGAATTGTAAATTTGATTCAAGCCAAGAAATGCATCTGCTCCGAAGATATCCCATTGATTGTTATCAAAGCGTATTCCAGTAACTCCATGGTTGATCAAGCATTAGACCTTTTCCAAAGAATGACTGAAATTTTTGGGTGCGAACCCGGTATAAGATCTTACAACACTCTTCTCAATGCGTTGGCTGAATCTAATCAATTCAATCGTGCGGATTTGTTTTTTAGGAACTTTAGACGGATGGGTGTTTTCCCCAACTTGGAAACTTATAACATTCTGATCAAACTTTTCTGTAAGAAAAAGCAATTTGATAAAGCAAAGGAATTGTTGAATTGGATGTCTGAAAGAGGGATGGTTCCGGATGTCTTCAGTTATGGTACTTTGATAAATGGGCTAGCCAAGAGTGGGGAGATGACCAGTGCCTTGAAGGTGTTCGACGAAATGTTTGAGAGAGAAGTAACTACAGATGTGATGTGTTACAATATTTTAATTGATGGGCTTTTCAAGAAAGGCGATTTTTTGAAAGCAAACGAGGTGTGGGAGAAGTTGGTTAACTCCTCATCAGTCTATCCAAATGTAGGTACTTATAACGCCATGATTGATGGTTTTTGCAAGTGTGGACAATTTCAAGAAAGTCTGAAAATTTGGAACAGGATGAAGGAAAATAATCGACAAATGGATTTGATCACCTACAGCACAGTCATAAATGTGTTTTGTGAATCAGACAATATTGAAGGTGGCATGACAGTTTTTAAAGAAATGATTGACAAAAATGTGTCCCCTGATGTTGCAATATACAATGCTTTGCTCAATGGGTATTGTCATGCAGGAAAGATTAAAGAATGCTTTAATCTATGGGATCTCATGGAGAAAGATAATTGCAGGAATATCATCAGTTTCAATATCTTCATCAAAGGATTATTTGAAAACAGAAAAGTAAATGAGGCTCTTTCTCTATGGAAACAACTATTACATGAGAACCCTTCTCTTATAAACTCCACCACTTATGGCATTTTGATCCATGGATTATGCCAAAACGGGTATATAGACAAGGCTTTCACTATTCTAAAAGAAGCACAAGGTAAAAGTAAAAGTAAAAGTAAAAGCAACAATCTTGATGTTTATGCATTTTCTTCATTGATCAATGGGTTTTGTAATGTTGGGAGGTTGAATGATGCAGTTTGTGTGTTAGATCTCATGGTTACACATGGCTATAATCCAAACACCAATGTTTGTAACACACTACTCAAAGGCTTTATTCAAGCTCATAAAATTAAAGATGCTATCAACTTCTTTGATAAAATGGCCACAAGGGGTTGTCCACCTACTATTGTCACTTACAATACTTTAATTGATGGATTATGCAAATCACAAAGGTTTGATGAAGCCTATAGACTTGTGAAGGAAATCTTGGAAAAGGGATTAAAGCCTGATATGATCACTAATAGCTTGTTAATGCGTGGATTATGTCAAGACATGAAGGTGGAATTAGCTCTTAAGTTATTTCACCAAGTTCTTGATAATGGTTTCAAACCCGATGTAATCATGTACAATATTATAATTCATGGGCTTTGTTCTACACGAAATGTTGGATATGCATTGGAGTTGTATCTAAAGATGGATGAACACAAATGTGTTCCCAATCTTGTTACACTCAACACTTTAATGGAGGGTTTCTACAAAGTTAGGGATTGTATAAATGCATATGTTATATGGGGAAGGATTTTGAAGATTGGATTTCAACCTGATATTATCTCATATAATATTGTTCTTAAAGGGTTATGTTCTTGTCATAAGATGAATGATGCTATTCATTGTTTGAATGATGCTGTGGCTATGGAGATTGTTCCAAGTTTCATTACCTGGAATATACTTGTGAAGGCAGTTTTGAAGTAAGTTTTATTTCATCCTTTGTATATTAAGAGGTATATGATTATATGAAACAATTGTTAAGCATCATGATGTTAAATTGTGATTTTGGTGATTCTACATATATCATCAAAACTGTAATGATGCAAAAGTTATATAGCATGATATATCAGTCTGAAGAGTTTAAGATCATACTTTGGGTTATTCACCATGCAAAATATATATATATATATAGAATCAAAACATTTCACTTCACTCTTTCTTATCTTGATTTTTTTCTGTATCTTTACTCTTTGTTTCTGCTAACATTTTCTGTTCATAGGTCAATTGGGTGACAAGACCTATCAAAATTAACCCTAGAATCACACCTTTTCTCCAATCAAACGATTGAGAGATGAAGGAATCGATTAAAGAGATGCTAATCAACCCGATTAATCCAAGGTAAATGTTTCTTCTCGTTTCTGTTCCCACAGTTTGTGATGTCAATTCTTTGATCTTTTCTGCTTCTCCTTTTGCGATTGTTGGGTCAACGGGCTTACTTTGACCCAAATTCTTGAAGAACAATCCTTCGTTTCTTTCATTCTCGAATCGAACTTCAAATTCGTCTAACTTCTTTTGATTCTCCTCTATCTCCAGCTTGCTTGATTCCGCCGATTCTTCAAAAGCTTGCATTTGGCTCTCGATATTCCCCATTATCTGTAATTGATGGAAAAAAAAACAAAGAATACCAGAGTCAAAGTCGGTGAAACTCGGCGTACGTTAGTATATGAAGTGACAAACCCTAAGACTGGCTTCTTCGAGCTCCTTGCGTGCGTTTTCGCCGACTTGATCAAACTCGGCGTTGGCTTCTTCTGCAAATTGCGTAAGATAATCGGATCGTTCATCTAAGAAATCGGTGAGACGGACTTTTTGGGCTTGAAGCATTGCGATTCTCACTAGAAGCTCCTGCTTTTTGGAATCGCCTTCGTCGGAGGTGGTATTGGGATTTTCATCGGAGTTTCTGGATTTGCGTAAGAACAGCCGTGAGTGGTGGTGGTTCTTGATGGGTGGATCTGTTCGGTAGAAGAAATCATGCTTTGTTGATGTAGTGAAGGTGGTTGTTTGTATGGATTGCAATGAAATCATGGTGTTTTTTCCTTCTCTGTTACTGTTACGAAGCATTTTTGGACCTCTTTATCACCACCATACGTACATTATCTTAATTTGGTGTTGTAGTGTCTATTTTCCAGAGCAATTGTTAGTAAATCCAGAACACCAATGATGTGGTTGGTTGTATATTGTTGTGGATTTAACCAATGAAGTTTAAGTTTAATATCTTCTTATAATATGTACGTAATAATTTTTTATTTATAATAAAAATTGATAATTTATTTAATCCATTAGAAGTTTAGAACCATTAAATTTTAATAAATTTTCCTATCATGACAATTATAGCCAACTTTCCAAATATTTTTGGCCAAATGACACTGTTAACAATGATATTTTTGGCCAAATGATGACACTGTTGCAAAACAAACTATTGCTTTTGGCCCGACTTTATCATTGAAGTAATTTATTATTATTATTATTATTATTTTTTTGCGTAATAGGTCACAAAACTCTTAATCTTTGTATCAATTTTGTCATTTTCGTTAAGAAATCAATTAGTCTCGTTAAGTTCGATGGCATGGCAGGCCATGTGGGACGCCATTGCCACGTCATCGTCTTCAACCTCCAACAACCTATATTTTCTCATCTTTCTTGTCTTCAACCTTCAACGTCCACCAACTACCACCACCACCAACCTTCTTGCCCATCTCAAGAACACACAGATAAGGTTCGAGTTCTCTCTTCTCTCTCTAACTTTTGATAATGCAAACTCAAGAACACGCATCTACATTAGGTCCGACTTCTCACTTATCTCTCTATGTGTTTCTGATTTCTAGGTTTATGAACTTCATCTATTTTCTGGGTTTAGAAATCGCGGTTCTCTTTCTTTATTGATATACATATGTTTATCTAGTTTTTGAAATACACATCGTGTGATATCGCTCACATATGCAAATTGATTCTTGAACACATACACACACACAATATTTCTTGAAATTGGTGGTTCATCTTCAATTTGGCAAGTCCAAATGAGTTTCAAGAACATCATGTTTAGATTTGGGTTCAAGCACATTTCATGTTTAGATCGGGTTCAATAATAAATCCTTAAAACAGATTTGGAAACAAGTTTTTGGAAATGAGTTTCAAGAACAAACATTCGTGTGGGAGAGAGAGAGAGAGAGAGAGAGAGAGAGAGAGAGAGAGATGGGTTTGTTTCACCATCACCATCATGCTAGAACTTCAGTATCTTTCAAGGAAGCCCTAACATTCTAGCGAACTTCTCATAACCATGTCCATGGAAAAGTTGATCCAGTTCGAAAATCTGAGATATGGGTTTGTTTCCAATAGACGAGAAGTCGGAGAACTTGAACAAGAAAAAGGTTCAAGTCCAAAGAAAAATTTGAAATTAAAGATTTAAGAAGCATTGTCTTGTGGGCAAGGGAAGTGCAGAATAAGGAAGAATGGATACTGTATGCAGCAAAAGAAAAAGAAAGTTAAAGTCAAACACACAATTAGAAATGGTGTCATCATTTTTAAGCACGAATCTAGAATGAGAGTCAAAATTGAAAACCAAATCAAATACCAAAGGTGTAGACTAAACCAAAGACCAAATGTGGTGACCAAATTAGGGCTCGTGTTTCATAAATGGATAGTTTCAGAGTCGTTAGGGTTCTATATCTTGATTTAGGTTGTTGTCATGGTCGCTAGATTTAAAGTAGTGGTGGTCACTAGATTTGAAGCACAGTGTCGATGGTTTCAGAGGGAAGTGAGAGATATAGTTTTAAATGAATTCACATAACTTACCATTTTAGATTTAGAAAACACGAAATCAAAAGTGAGGGGTAGACGAAGGATGATGTTGGAATGGAGACGTTGGGAAGAAGACCCAAAAACCATGACTACAGCATATCCGGACCGCCCCGGGTATCCTGTCCTTCAGCACAAAGCAGGATCGCGTCAACCCAACCACAATATGCTGACATATACAACTGATAAACATAAACACATATCCAACAAATACATGTACCATACATGTCTACCAATCTATCATATAACCAACATAACATCATCCTATATACCAGGATACATAACCTAGTGGGTCGGCATTGGTGCCTTCAACCCACAAGTACAGTGAGGAAAACTCACTTGAATCGAAGAACCCAGAAACATTGTTATGTGCTCCCTTTTATGTACTGCTGGCACCCGCGAACCCACTAACACCAAAACCAGGTAGAATCTTAATCAACAGTCCAAAACCCTTAAGTTTGATCCAAAGTCAAACTTGGTCAAAAAGTCAACGATTAATGGTCAAAGAAAGTCAAGGTCCACATTATGTTAAGTACGCCCTGCGTACTCCATCTGTACGCATGCGTACGTGACTTCAGCCTTATATGCGTTGTGTACCACTTAGGTACGCCCAACGTACTCAAGCCAGATCTAATATCCCATTAAGCACTTATTCCCTCAAGATCCTTCCTCCAAAGCTCAGATCTAAACCCAAATGACATCCTAAATCATAAAGTTTCCAACTTTATGACTTTGCATGGCTAAAAAGAGTCCAAAGTCAAACTCTAATCTGCTAAATTCATCAAATTTTTAACAACTCATGCATGGGTGAAATATAACCACTGAGATACGATTTTTATGCTAATAGAACCTCAAAAACAAAAAGAAATGCTAACCCTAAGCTCTGGAGTAGCTTTTACTCACAAGAACCAAACCATGGGACCAAAATGTACAACTCCTTAAGCTAGACAAGGTCTAAAGCAAGAGAATCATAAAGGTTCAAACTTTATACCTCCTGGAGCTTGCAAAGGTGATGAAAGTTCTGGATCTTCAAGCTTCAAGCTTACCAAGGCTTCTTCAATGGATTCCTTCTTCACAAGAACACAAAAAACTACACCAGGACCTTAAACTCTCACAAATGGGGCTAGGGTTTCGAGTTGTAGGCTTAAGAGGATGGAGGTTGATGATAAGGAGGACCTCCAAGAGGTTAGAGTCCTTAAATAGGCCTCAAAACCTCGAAAATAGGGTTTTTGCCCAGCTCAGTTACGCCTAGCGTGACTGATTAAAAATGTGTCCTTAGAAGCTAGTACGTCCAACGTACCTTGAGTACGCCCTGCGTACTACCACACTTCAAAATCCAACTAAATTTCAAACCGCCACAACTTCCTCGTTTCAACTTCGGTTTTGGCGTTTTATATATGCATGGAAAGGTATTGAAGAGCCCCACAATCTTATCTAATTATTTTTTACTTAAAACCTATCGAATTAAAATTCTTAATTCATGAAAGAAGTCTGAAGCATTTTTTTCCCATTTTACCCCTCTAACTCCAAAACACAAACCAAGAGTTTGGATCACCCAACCAATATTATCCACATCCAATGGTGTCTAAACCCTAATCCTTGAAGCCCAAGGCCTTCAATTGATCCATTTATTGTCCATAATCCCGAAATAAGAATTTCTCGAAACAGGATGTTACATAATGACATCCCACATGGCCTGCCATGTCATCGAACTTAACGAGGCTAACTGATTTCTTGATGAAAATGATGAAATTGATACACAGATTAAGAGTTCAACGTCCTATTGTGCAAAAAATACTTCAGTGACGAAGTCAGGCCAAAAACAATAGTTTGTTGTGGTACAATGTCAGTTAACCGATATTTTTTCTCAAATAATTTTTTTTATTGTGACCACTATAATGTGTGCTATGATATTTATAATGACAGACAAAGAAAATCCTGTCAAACATGAATGGTTTTAGCGACAAATTTTTTCAAACAATATTTTCTTATTGTGACACATTTTTTTATAAACTACGCAAATGTTTAAAATATAATTTTCTTTTTTTATACTGCCTTATTAAATATAATGATAACAAAAAAAATTGATTAATGATTTAATGTATTTCTTTATTAATAGTACTTAAATTAAATGTTGATTAGTTACAATCCTCGAATCTAATTGGAATTTACGATCCCGGGATCGGATTGGAATTTACTCCACTGATTAATTAAACTTTATACAACATTTTAAAGAAACAACAATTTTAGTTTTGGGTGTTTATTACCAGAAAAATGTTTTGGTTCTCAATCAAACTTTTGTAGTGATCGAAAAATTAGTCCAATATGAAATGTCAAGTAATACAATGTTTTTTTTAATATGGTTTCGGTTATGAAATAAAATTTGTAAACTATTTTCGAGAGTTATCTTTGGTTATTATGTGTGACGCTGCCTTCAGTCCTAATATAAATATGGCGGCATAGGAATATTGATGTCAAAATTGCCACAATTCTAAAGTATATCCCAACTTGAACCACAATTTGTTGAACGGCAATTTTTTATAACGTTGATAGTTTTCAAAAACTATTTCACCGTTATACAATCAAATATGGTCAGCCTAGTTATTCAATTGTTGATCATTTGTTGAAGGGGATGACAAGATCATCTAGAAGTGACAGAGATGTGAATTACAAACTTTATAAAACTTTAATAGAGAACGTTACTAAGCACCAACGAACTTCAGCCCCGAGTAGTGAATTAGGTAAATATATTCATCAAACTTTTTAGTCT